GCACATTCCTCCACCCTTGTAGATAAGAAGTTATTTATATTTGGAGGAGGTGACGGACCTGAATACTTCAATGATCTATATGTTTTCGACACCGGTACAGATAATTTCCCTTCTGAAGAAAATTAGTCGGTTATTCTTATATATTTATAATTTTTTTTGTGCGTAAGAATATTGATGCTAATCTTAATCATGGATTTTATCATTCCTTCCCTTTTTTTGTTTTTTTTTTTAAAACGATTTTATTACTTTTAGATACGCTTACGTGGTCAAAACCTAAAACAACAGGCAATATTCCGTCAAGACGCCGTGCACATACCACCGCCTATTATAATAATTGTATCTATGTTTTTGGTGGTGGTGATGGGGTTCGTGCCCTCAACGATGTCTACAAATTAGATATATCTGACATGAACAATTTAGTCTGGCAAAAGCTAGAAACAACTGGGAGACCACCAATTTCTAGAGGTTATCACACCAGTAATCTCGTTGGAAATAAGCTTGTGGTTTATGGCGGTAGTGATGGTCACGAGTGTTTTGATGATGTTTTTATGCTGGATTTAGGTAAATGTAGAAATCAATTTTAACCAGGAAATAAAATAACTCACATGTTGTTAACATGTTGTTAACAATGTATAATTATATATTTATATATATATATATTTTTTTTTTTTTTGTTTTTTTTTTTAGAAAGAAACAATTGGATTAGTGTTAATATTGAAAATTCTCGCCAACGACTGTCACATACTGCAACACAAGTAGGATCATATTTGTTTATCGTTTGTGGGCACGATGGTGTACGGTATACATCGGAAGTTCTTTTATTAAACTTGGGTATGTACCAAATGAACCAAATGATTAACAATAAAGAAGCTGCTATAATAAATTATCTTTTATTATTTTTTATTACATGATACAAATGACTTATTAATTATAAACTCTTATCCTTTCTAGTCACTATGCAATGGGAGGTCCGAAAAGTATATGGCACACCGCCATCAGGCAGGGGGTATCATACAACGGTACTTTACGATTCTCGACTTTTCGTTTTCGGGGGATATGATGGTCATAGCGTCTTCGACGACGTTTATGTCTTGGATTTATCAGCTTGCGCGTATTTGCCGCAAATAACAAATTTTCAGCTGGGGATTGGATCCACATAAAATTCTAGTCGTTTAACCGTGTTAATCGTTTAATTCATCTAAAAAAATATTGTCGAGAATTTTTTTTTTTAATTTTAATTCGACATTCTCTCTAACAAATTTTTCATAAATCGACTATAATGTTATTTTTTCTTCGTTGGAATTGATTTCTTTCGACTTTAATGTTCATTGTTTTTCGTTGGAATTGATTTCTTTGTTATATTTTTCGTTTTTTACACATTCTAACATAGTTTTTAAGCTAGAGAATGACTTTTTTCTTTTATACTATTATTGACGGATAAATGAGTGTTTAATGTTTTGCGTGAAGAAACT